CCTCATTCCTTATTTGGGGGCTCCCGGAAGAACCACTCAGGACCCAGCTTCGAGCAGGGTGGCCCTGCAGACCCCTGCACCAGGCCAGGAGGCCGGTGCCTGTCACCTGCCCAGCTGCCCCATGCTACCGCCTGACTGAAGGTACAGAAAAGCCCCTGCACAGTGACAGCAAGCCCTGCGCTTGGCACAGCATGCAAAGAGGAGAAGCAGCCTGCCTGTTGCGATGTTCCCAGGGCGGGGGTGGGGTGGGGGGAGGGGCTGCCAGCCACCTCGCATCTGGACCCCACCCTTCGTGTGACCACCTCACCCGCTGTCCCACTGCAGCAGCCAGGCGACCTTGCTAAGACTGTGTGTGTCCCTTCTTCACTCAGAACTTGCAAGCAGCTCCAGTTTCATTCAGGGTCAAAGCCAAGGCCCGGTGAGGAGCCTGCAGGAGCCCTCACTCTTCCTGTGCCCAAAGGCTGCCCCCTCCTCCCCACCGTGCCTCCCAGTTCTTCGCCTTTCCTCAGTGTCCCCTTTTCAGTGTGGCCTTCCTGCCACCCTCTCTCGAATCCTAGTCCTTCCCATTTCTGAGCTCTGTGCCCTGTTCCCCTTAATGCAAACCGCAATCTCATGCACTATTGTCATTATTCCATTAAACACCTCTCCCTGCCCCCCTGATATGCAGAATCTGTCTTTGTCTCTGTCTCTCCCAGGCTTCTACATGGGTGGGGACTTTCATCTTTTGTAATTTCCCCAGAAATAACACTGTTCAGTGCCCAGAACAGTGCTTGGAACAGAGTAGATGCGCAGTAAACTTGTTCAGTGTATGACTATGTGAATGAGTGAGTCCATACGAACCCCTCACTTGCTAACCTGTTCTGATACCTCGGCACTCCCTTGAGAAACCAGGCACTTGTCCATTTCGAATTCTATCTATCACTCACTTTAGGGAGTGCTGCGGTGGGCGAACACACATTTGAGTGTGCTAGAATCTAGATAGATGCGCTTCTCTTGTTTCTATTTCGCTCAACTGCTTCCTGATCTGCACGGCTCAGCCAAACAACGTTTGATATATTTTGAGTCTCTTACAGACACTGTGAATTCTTACATCGCATCTCCAAAGGCACAGGGAGAATGGACCTTCTCTGTGTGGTTCAAGGTAAGGAGGAAGTAGGTTCGACCGCCAGAACCCTTTGGTGGTGGTAACTTCTGAGATGAGTTACAGCGATTGTGACAACCAGGCACCTTGCTTGGGGAGAGTGGACACCTTCTCATAAACATAGTGAAGAAGGCCGGGGATGTAGCTCAGTGGTTGTGCCACCTGCCTTGCAAGTGAAAGGTCCTGAGTTCAATCCCCAGTTCAAAACAAACAAACAAACCAAAACAACACTAGATACAGTGAAGATAATCTTCTCAAAATGATAGTAGTGATGAGACAGAAATGAACCACGGACGGTAACCGTAATGATAAATTTCAGGGCACAACTGGCAGCATCTAAATAGACCAAAGGGACTCCCCGCAGTCATAAACATGTGTGCTTGGGGTGGGAACAAACAAAATCTCAGAAGAACCGGAGGCCTGAAGAAATATCAGAGGGTCATGTAGACCTAGGCCGGGCTAGGTGGGACCTGGTGATTTGGGTTCACTGTTTGTAAGTCTGGCAAGCACTGTCTGTAGCCCAAAGAGAGATAATGTGGTGACCTTAGGATAAAAACTGTGAAATTTTGCTTGATCTCCTAGTTAGGGAACTGAGGCCTTCAGTCTCATGAAAGCTTCAGGCTGGGAACATTAACATCAGCAAGCACTGGGGTAAATTCACAGCAGACAGCTGTTTGGAAGTGAGCGTGGGCATCTCATGGAAAGACAGCACAGCCTATTTTCCAACCAGAAACTTGAAAATGACTAGCAGAAAGACTAAAATCATCAGGGATGGGGAACAGCCTTTTTCTTCCCAAAGTCACTTGTTATAAGTCACCTAGCTTGGGTAATCTGTAATGGAGGCCACAGGCAGCAATCTGCCTTTGCCGTAAGTGCCTGGCCCTGTCTTGGGGGTCTTATTCCTGTTTGCTTTGCTCCCCATGGGCCCAGCTGCTTTGGTACCTGCCAGACACCACAGGCACTTTGCTGAGCTGAGTCCCTAAGGCCACTGTCAAGGAAATGACTGTGGGTGTGGGAAGGATTCACGAATCTAGCCAGAAGGCTAGTTCCTCGCAGTTGTCGTAGGAACAGGGCCACATGCCTCTTACACACTAGGAATTCAATAATAGCCAAGTGGGTAGGACTCAAAGCTGGTTCGCACACTACTGGGCCTGTGCATAGTGTCCCTGCTTCCGCAGGGCCCAGGGCTCTTATCCTGGGTGTGATATGGGCCACTACAAAGACTTCCTTTCAAACTCCCCCATCTCCTGAGCTTCTGTTCAAACGGTGCCACTCTCAGAGGCTCTGGAGCCTGCATGAGCAGACACTCACTGGAACCCTTGGGGAAGGGGAAGGGGGATGGCTGGAAGTATTTCTGGGAGGAATCCTGGGAGGGCACAGAAAATAAAGGAACGCTGTGGGCAGTGGGGATGACCCAGTACAAGCCTGGCCCTGTGAGACCCTAGGGGCACTACCCCTGCTTGGTATAACCCTGGCACTCTGTACCAACAGCCCCTTCTTGGTTGGGAAATTTTGAACTCTTGGATCCTGCGTATCCCTTATTTGGGACAGTCCTGTAGCCTGAGGCTTATTATTACCCCAAAATATTGCTGGATTCCATTGAACTCAAGGTCACCATGGGAAAATGGGTTGTCACTCCCTTCTCCTGGACATGTCAGCTGTTTGCAGAGGTGCTGATACTACTTCTTTCTCTTTTGGGGACCTTGCCACAAGATCCGATCCCACTGGAATGTAGGCATGGGGGCTCTTGGGTAGCTTCTACTTCTACCGGGGAAGCAGGGAGTCCCATGGCTCAACAGGGCAGCCTCTCTGATGTCACTGTAGCCGGTGGGTGGCAATGACCCTCCCCAACTCTCTGGTGCGTTCCTACACCAACCTCAAGCCCACGGCTCTAACCATAGTCCCGCGGCTGCTCAGTTGTCCCCCACCCCATAATGCTTGGCCCTTTGTCCCCAAGCCCACTGTGGCTCTGGGAGTTGTCCCAAAGGCCACTCACTGGCCCTAGATGCACTGAGACAAGAAGCTGCGATTCCAAATCCCCCCCCCCCCGCCTCAAGAGCAAGCGGAAAGGCTCATTAGAAAGTGGCTCCAGTTATTGGTCCGATAATAATTATGAGCTAGAGAGAGCCCTCGTGGTCATCCTGCCTGGTTCCTGCCACCAATTCAAAAGTATTTCTAATTGGCACTGGTTGTCCCTGGAAGAGGGCAAGTTAGGTGGGGCTATGACTCCCAGCGCATGAACCTTCAGGCTCCACTCTGCCCTCTTAAACCCACCCCCACGACTATCTCCCTCCTCCAATTTAGGATTGTTTATAGTCAGTGAAGTTTTTCCAGATTGACTAAGAGTTCCTCTTATGCCTACCGAGGTCAGTTACCAGCGCAGTGGAAGAGCCTAGGACTGGAGCCAGCTGGGAGTCAGAAGAGTCTCTGTGCTGGGCAGACAGCTAAGGAATGAGAATCACACAGGCAGCTGTCCCAAGCCACCCTCTCCTCCTCGGCCCTGACCCTTCTCTACCAAGGGCTTTGGGAGCCACCTCCAGGGAGGGAAATGCTGAGGACAGGTTTGTTTCCTTCCTCTTTTTCTGTGTGTTTAGGGGTTAAGGACACTTCCGAAGTCCCCTTCCAATTGCAAGGTCAAGCAGCTGTCCAAACCACCCCAGGAGGAGAGGAAGTCCTGGATAGCTCAGCCTCAGCAGGCCTGGGGCAGCCTGGCTAAGGAAGAGTTAATCGGCAATCAGCTTTGGCTGATAGTTCAGACTCCAAAGTTCAGCCCCAGCCCGAGCCACCCCGGAGGAATTGTAAATCTCAGGGCAGAATTTAACAAAAGAAAAGCAACCTGGAACTACAAGCGGGCTTGGTTTCCACAGTACATATTTACTTAATCCCCAAGGTATGTGGCTCCACGTCAGATCAGCTGGCTTTGCTGGCCCCTTCACCGCTCCCCCATTCACAACAGTTTAAATTTCAAGTTAATTCCCTGTTTTCCATCTTCCTCTTCACTGGGCTGGCTGGAAACAGCCCGGCCTGCCAGCCTTCATTCCCTCTCTCTATTGCTCTTGTCACTGAGTGAGGCAGCCTGGCCTGAGTTGGGTGACAGCTGCCTCACACTCTACTCTGAAGCACCAGGTCTGCGAACACCAGGGCTGGAGGTGCTGGGACCATCAAAATGTCAGGCAGTGCCCAGGGATACCTCCCAACCTCTCTGGGACGTGCAGGGGGAGGGGACAGGGTTGAAGGTGAGAACAAGGGGTCTTTATCCTAGACTGCTTAACCTCGGTCCTTTTCCCTGGTTTCCAAACACCTGGGCTTCCCAGTGCCTGTCCTGCTGGTCTATCAGCCCAGCCAGATCCTTCCTTTTCAAGCCCAAGCCGAGTATCCCACTCCCGTGCCTTCAGAACTGCAGCCGCCCAGGTTGGGCTGGGAAGGGGGTTGCCAAGGAAAATACCAGGCGCCGGCTAGCAGGCTGCTCCCAGCTGTACCGAGGAGCCTGAGCCCTGAACTCACCCGGGTGGCTGAAAAAAGGGAAAGGGTTGGGGAGCGCGGGGGTGGGGAGCTGAGGGAGAGATTCAATACTTTCCTCAGGGAGGGAGGAACGTAGGGATGGGTGAGTTTCCTAAATTTCGAGGTGGGGGTAAGTAATTGGCCAGCCACCCATCCCCATAGGAACAGATCAGCTCCGGACCTGCCAAAACAGTCAGGTGCCCAGGAAATTTACAAGGTGAAAGCGACCAGCTCAGCACTGGCTGGTGACGCAGAGGAGCCGGGTGGTCGGCGACTCCCGGCTCCGGCAGCCGCAGCAGGTGGGCGCACCCCGCACCGGTGGTCCC